TCACTCTGGCTCTGAGCTCAGAAATCAGTCCTGGTGGGAGGGCTGAATCCACCCCTTCCCATGGCCAGAAACCCCGGCAGCCCCCCACCCCCCCCTCTTGGCAGAGCAGCCCCCCAGCCTCAGGTCTCCAAAAGAAAGAACATTGTGCGTCGAGCCTTCCCAGGCAGCCGGGCGAGAACGCGGGGGCCTTTCCGGGAACGGGGCAGGCAGCCCCCTACTGCCCGAAGACCCAGCAGCCCGCGACCACCCCAACACCCTCCCCCTGTGACAGCCCAGCTGCATAACTAACCCCCGCAAACTGCCAAGCCCCCGCATTGTTTCAGATCTACAGCTCCTGGACCGCACACGGATACCTCCCAACTGCATAGCCCTGCCACTCCGTAGGGTCACACAAACCAACGGGAGAGGCGCAGAGATGCCACCACGCCCAGTGAGTGAAAACGACGACACAGGAGGTTCCAGCAGCGCCCGGACCCTGAGATGCAGCGACGGTCACGTGACGCTTATTGATTGCAGATTTGATCATTCCATTGGCCTTCGTGTCATAACAATAGGAAGTAAATCTGTTTGTGCTTGTAAGGGGCAGGCAGGGGTGGTGGGTGGGCAGCTGGGGACAGGGGTAGGGGCGGGTCGCACTGCTGGTGGGATTATGGTGGAACATTTGCCCTAACGCATTGAATGCCCAAAACACCTGGATTGTGAACGACTTGGTAAGTCACAGTGTTAGAATAGAAATAAATAAACGTGGAAAAGTAAAACAATATATTAATAAAAAGAAGTCACTCGCGGCGGGGCCGGAGGCCCGTATGTGGTGCGGGGGATTGGACCTTCCCTGTCGCTCTCCTGTTGCTCCCGCCCCTCAGCCCAGCTGTCATTTTTTTTTTAATTTATTTATTTATTTATTGAATCACCATGGGAAAGGTTACAAAGCTTTCAGGTTTAGGTCTCAGTCATGCAAATATCAAGCACATTTCCCTTTACCAAAACTTATTTTTTACCATGAAGAACGCCCCAGCTGTCATTTTGCTGATCTAGAACAATAAAGGACCTTCGGACCCGGACCCGTGGGCAGGTGAAGAGCTCACTGTGGAGGCCACAAGGTGTTTCAAAAGAAGCGCCCCCAGGGTTCTGGAGTGATAGCACAGCAGGGAGGGCCTTTGCCTTGCACGCGGCCGACCGAGGTTCGATTCCCAGCATCCCGTATGGTCCCTGAGCACCGCCAGGAGTAACTCCTGAGTGCAGAGCCAGGAGTAACCCCTGTGCATCGCCGGGTGTGACCCAAAAAACAAAAACAAGGAAGTGATACCCAGCACCCCACAGGGTCCCCCCCCAAGCTCAGGAGCGAACCCTGAGCACAGAACCAGGAGTAAGTCCTGAGCACTCTGGCATGGCTCAAACCAAAGAAAAGTTTAAAAGAGGCCAGAGATAGTACAGCGGGGAGGGCACTTGCCTCGTGACACGGCCTGTCCTGTCCCCGGCACGAAAGTGTTCCCCTGAGCCCGCAGGAAGTGATCCCTGAGCAGGAAGCCAGGGGTGAGCCTTGGGCACAGCCAGTTGTGACCCCCGAACAAAAGACAAATAAAGATAAAAATACGTGTAAAAATCCCAAAGCAGCAGTCCCTGCATTAACCGGGCACCAGGCTGGCTGCAGGTAAGAGAGTCTGATGCTCCTTGTCCAGTGAATGAAGCTACTTCACCCTCTTTTGGGTGCTAGCCCCCGCCCCCGACACACAGGGAAGACAGGGTGGCATCTGTTTCCTCCTGCTCCAAGCCCCCAGACCCAGTCAAAGCCCGGGCAGCCCCCCCCACTCCTGCTCAGCACCTTTGAGCCTCAGTTACCGATCCAACATGTGGAAACTTTCCAAAAGTGCCAGGCTGGCCACGGCCACTCTCCAGCTGCCCGGAGGTGAGTTCCCCCTTTCCCTCACCTCCAAGATGCTGGGCAGACACTCCTTTGTGTGTGTGTGTGGGGTCTCTCTGTGCACTCGTCTGTCTGCCCACCTGCCCTGAACCTTTCTGACCTTTTTCCTTTCTTCTTTCCTGAAGGGCCAGGTAGGGGGAGAAGATGAAGGATCAGGATTCCAGACAGAAAAGAGCTTTTGTTTGTAGTTCTAATCGATTCAGGGGCCTGAGCCATAGTACAGCAGGGAGGGCGCTTGCCTGGGACGTGGTCAACCAGGGTTCGATCCCCGGCATCCCATAGGGTCCCCTGAACACTGCCAGGAGTAATTCCTGAGTGCAGAGCCAGGAGGGACCCCTGAGCATCACCCAGTGTGGTTCTAAAACCAAAATAAGAAAATAAATGGATCCATTTCCCCTCAGTCTCTTTCAGCTTACTGACTCAGAGCAGAGTCCAGAGACGACAACTCTCTGGTTTTATGTTTCACTGTCCTCCCGTTGTTCATCGATTTGCTCGAGCGGGCCCAGTAACGTCTCCATCATGAGACTTGTTGTTACTGTGTCTGGCATATCGGGTACGTCACGGGTAGCTTGCCAGGCTCTGCCGTGCGGGCGAGATCCTCTCGGTAGCTTGCCGGGCTCTCCGAGAGGGGCGCAGGAATCGAACTCGGATCGGCCATATTGGCCTCTTGTAAGGCAAACGCCCTACTGCTGTGCTATCGCTCCAGCCCAGTTTTATGTTTATTTTTAAAAATTTTTTTTTTCTTTTTGGGTCATACCCGGTGATGCACCGGGGTTACCTCCTGGCTCTGCACTCAGGAATTACCCCTGGCGGTGCTCAGGGGACTATATGGGATGCTGAGAATTGAACCTGGGTCAGTCGGCCACGTACGTGCAAGGCAAATGCCCTACCCGCTGTATATTGCTCCAGCCCGCTCTGATTTTATGTTTTGTAAATCTCAAAGTTCCCTGGAAACCTACAAGGTGCTTTTTCTCCAACCAACCAACCAACAAGTGATTGAGCTCTTGTCCATTACTGAGGACCTCTGGCTGCACAGTCAGCAGTGGCCAAGGGCCTGAAGGGTCAAAGAGAAACTGCCACAGGGCATACCAGCGCATACCAGACTCTGTCTGAGACTTCATTTAGTTTTAAAAAAATCTTTATTTTTGTTTTTTTGGACCACACCCCGCAGTGATCAGAGGAGTCATTTCTGGAAGCGCTCAGGGAATCATTTGCCTTGCGGGGATGAAACCCTGGCCAGGCCCCTCAGCCGTTCAGCCCTCTCTGGAAGGCACTTTAAGGTTCTCACACGCTTTCATTCAAGGACTGACTCTAGGAAGCAAGAAGAAAAGAGATTCAGTCCCAGCACCACCAGAGTCTGCGCGCGCTGGCGGGAGCTGGGAGCGGGTGTCCCCCACCTGACCATCTGGCTGGTAATGCCACTTACTGGGCAGGAGGCAAGGACACCTACAGATTAGTTTCCAGCACAAAGTAGCAGATTGCCAGGCTGGGCTGCTGGGTTAAGTACCAGGAGGCGGTGGGGTGGGGAGGGCTGAACTGTGAGGGCTCAGGAGGTCGGTCTTGAGGCTTCAAGTTCGGGCCCTGATACACCAACTGGGCTCAGTGTCCTGGGCCTCCTCCAAAGGTGGGGCCCCCGAGTGTGTGTTCTCCAGCACCTGGCCAGCCACGTGCCACTGCTCAGCAATGAGCCCCTGCGAACTCCCTACAAAGGCAAGGGGATGGGGTGGGGGGAGGGACGGCCTGACAGTCTGGGGGGCTTCCTGAAGGAGGCATCCCAAAGGCACGCTGCTGCAGGGACCGAAGGCTCAGGGCAGAGCAGGAAGGAGCTTCAACTACCCCAGCGGAAAGCCAGCCAACCCTGAGGTCAGCTGGGTGGGGACTGGGCTGCGGGGCATGTCTGGCTGACCTGTCCGGGCCTGGTGAGGCAGAGGGAGCTTGGCGCCGCTGGTGCAGCAGGAGGGGGCCGGGCAGGTAGCCCCAGGGGAGCTGGTGCTGGGCTGGAATCCGCAGCTCAGGGGCCAGGGAGCTGGGCCTGCGGAGGGAGGCACAGCCCCCCACCCTTTGCTCTGCTGTTGGCCCTCCTTGCACTTCCTCTTGCTCACTGAGGGTCTTCAGTGGCTGGATTGGCACAAGTCCCAAGGGCTTCTCCTGCCGTCCAGCACCGTCCAGCACCGTCCAGTCTCCTGGCCACGAGCCTCCAGGGCTGCCCCAAAGCCCCTCCCGCCCAGACTTCAGCCTGGAGTCACGACCCGCGCAGAGTCGCTGCACTTTGCCCTGGGGCGTCCCTCACGTCCCCCCCCACCCTCCGCGCCGCAGTCCCGGGACCCCGCGCTCCCTGCACCGTGGGAGCCCTCAGCGCTCAGCCCACTGCCCCGTGCGCAAGACGCCGCCCCCCAAAGGGCCCCTCCCGACGTTCTACCCCGGGTGGGTGGAGGCGGGGGGAGGGCGCGCCCGAGCCCCCCTGCACTCCGCGGCATCCCCGGCCGCGCGGGAGGGGGCTTCGGGTCTGGACCTCCGGGCCTCGGACAGCGGCTGCTGCGGTCCACGGGAGGTGGACCGGGCCCCTGGGGACCCTCCTCGGGACCCGCCAAGAGGCGCCGCAGGTCCTGGGAGGCCTTGGCACGGGGTGGGGCGCTTTGCGCGGCCCGGAGCGGGGTCTGGGCTGCGGGGGCGCCGGGCCCCGGGGGTCCCGGAGCGTGGGAACGCGCGCGTGGCGAGCCTCGCCCGGTCCTCGCCTCCGCGGGCGCGCCCCCGCCGCGCGCCCCCGCGCCTCCCTCCCCCGCCGCGCGCCCCCGCGCCTCCCTCCCCCGCCGCCGCGCGCGCCCGCACCCGGACAGAGCCCTGCGGCGCCGAGCGCGCGCGCCCGCCCGCCCGCCCGGCCGGTCCCCGCGCGCCCCCGCCGCGCGCGCCCCCGCGCCCGCCCCCGGCCGGTCCCTGCGGAGCCGCGCGCGCGCGCGCCGCCATCTTAGTCGCCGCCGCCGCCGCCGCCGCCCGCGAACGCCGCCGCGCCCGCTGAGGGGAGGCGCCGCGGCCCGAGCGCGCGGCCCAGGCTCGGCGGCCGGCCCGGAGCGACCCCGCTCGGCGCGCCCCGCGCCCCCCGCGCCCTGCCGTCGCCCCCCGCGCCCGAGCCGCCATGCCGCGCCCGCCCGCGCTCGCCCCGGCCGCGGGGCTGCTGCTGGCCGGGCTGCTGCTGTGCGGCGGCGGGGTCTGGGCCGCGCGAGGTGAGCGGGGGCGCGGGGGTCCTCGGGGGCGCGCGCGGGGCGGGGGCGCGGGACCGGGGGGTCGGGGGCCGCGGGGGCGGGGGCGCGCGGGGCGCGGGCCGGGGCCGCGGGGTGCAGGGGGCGCGGGGCGGGGGCGCGGGGTCACGTGGGGCGCGGGGCTCGGGGGGCTCGGGGGCCGCCGGGGGGCGGGGGGCGCGGGGCCGCCGCCGCCCCCACGCGCCGTTCGCGGGCCCCCGGCCCTTTGTGCGGGCGCACCTGCCTCCTCCCGGCCGGCCGGCCTGGCGCATTGCGGATGGCCCTGCCCGCGCTGCCCGCTGCCCGCTGCCCGCTGCCCGCGCGTGGGGCTCCCGGAGCGCCGGGGGTCGCGGGGGCACGGCGGGCCCGGACGGCCCCGGGCGAGCCGAGGGGAACGCGCCTTCTGGGCTGGGGGAAGAAGGGCAGGGCCGGCGGCGGCGCCCGCTGGACCGTCCACTCGGGGCGCCCGGCCCCCCGCCGGGGCTGTGCGTGGGCTCGAGGCGCGAGGCTCCTCCCGGGCGCCAGCTGGGGAGTGGGCTTTGCAGGGCTGGGGCGGCAGGTGGGCGGGTCCGGCGATGCGGAGGGCCGGACTTGCGCTTTGGGGGGTCAGGCCCACCCGTTTCGAGACCCCCCGGCCGGCCGGCACTGGGTGCCAGGGGACCCGAGGGCGCGCGCAGCATCGCTGGTTCGGGCCGGTGTTTCCTGGGGCCGGTCCAGCTGCCCCCGGGATGCGGGATGCGTCGGGCGTGCGCTGGACTGGTCAGCTAGACTCGGCGAGTAACTCGACTCCTCGGTAATTTGCTAACGGGCTCTGAGCTTTCCTTGATCCTTTTATGCTCCAAAGCATTTGCAGTGGTGCAGAGACAGACCGAGCCAGGTCAGTGGGCTGAGGGGTGCAGGTGGCCTCCAGCCCTGCTGCGCCCGCCCTGCCTAGCAGTGCTCAGGGCTTTCTCCCGGGTCTGCACCTAGAAATTGCTCCTGGTGGCACTCCCCAGCCCACCCCCAGGAAAGAACGGAATTCTTGGTCTGCAGAGTAACAGCAGTACCACTGGCGTGGACAGGCTCGCCTGGTGCCAGCCCCGGTTTGGCCTGGGGCACCACTGGATCCCCTGAGCAGAGAACCGGGGGTCCCCTAACATGATGCATTTATTTGAACCTCAGTTTTGCTGTTTGCATGGGTTCTGTGAACCCCAAGAAGTGAGAAAATGGTGTCTCTTTCCTGCGGCTGTACGCTGCGGAGATGGGGCTGGCCGAGCCCGTCGCCTTCCACCCCCCCCCCCCAGGACTCCCGGTAAACTGTTTTGAGGCCCCCCCCAAAAAAAAGTAAGAAAAGAGAAAATGGTGTCTGTTCCGGGAATGCTTATACCTTGATTTCATTTTGAAACGGGCCAGATGACCTTTACAAGTCAAGAGTTCAGCTGGGAGACTTGGAGGGTGGGCTCCGCAGGGCCTGGCAGGGGAGTGGAGAAGAGTTGAAGCCCTCTGACTGCAGGAACCCCAGCCCCTCTCGGCACACGCGGTCCCAGGAACGGCCCCCAGCCCACCAAACCAGAGCCAGTGAAATGGCCATTCACCTCGTACCAGAATTTCTGGGGCCGCGGGACAGCCTGCCATCATCAGCTGTGTCCATCCTCCTTAGCCGGGTCCCACTCTGCTGTTGGTGATGGGAGAAGGGCTGCCTGGAAGCTGCCGCAGTCTTGTGCTGTGGGTTCTGTTTCACAGCTGTCTTTTTTGCAGGGACCGGGGAGCATCGCACCTGGCAGTGCTCAGGGCTTTCTCCCGGGTCTGCGCTTAGAAATTGCTCCAGGTGGCACTCCCCGGCACCGCCAGGATGGGGTGGGGTGGACTGTGTGGGATGCATGGGATCGAACCTGGGTGGGCCCTGTGCATGGCAAACGCCGTAGCTCTTTATGGAATCCTAAATTTCACTTTTAAGATTTTTTTTTTTAATGTGGCGCTAGGGATTGAAGTCAGGTTCCCTGCCTGTATGTAGAACGTATGCTTTACCAGTGAGCCACGTCCTCTGCCACTGGATTTGACGTGTGTGTGTGTGTGTGTGTGTGCGTGCGCGTGCGTGTGTGCGTCTGTGCCTGCTACACCCAGTGGTGCTCAGGACTTATTCCCAGCTCTGCACTCAGGGATCACTCCTGGCAGGCTTGGGGGACTCTAGGGGATGTGGGCAATTGCACCTGGCTCGCTGCGGAGAGCCCTGCCTCTGAGCTGTCTGTATTTCACTTAAATTGTAGCTCTCGTGCTCAAGATAGAGTCAGCCCAAATCTTAGCAGCAGTATCCTTGTCGTGCCCTTGCTGCGGGCCTCCTGACTCCATCTGGAAACAGAAACTTGAAATAAAGAAACTTCAAAGTCGATATGAATATCGTGAAAACAGTTAACGTTCCCGGGGACTGCCGTCAGGCCTGTGGTGGGGGGGCTCGATCCTGGGGCTTCCGAGTCCCACGGCTGCCCGCAGCCCTCCAGGCCTCTCTCCCCAGCCCCGGGTGACGCGGCTGCTTCCCGGAGAGGCTGCCCTCACCGCACTGCTGGGAGAGTCACCTTTCACTGGGAGCTTGGCCCCAGCCCTGCCCACTCCCCACTCCCAGCCCTCCTCAGCCCCATCTTCCCTAATGTGGACCTTCCCTAAAGCTCAGAGGAGCAAGAGCGTCTGGCGTTGGGTCTCCTCTGGTCGTAATGCTCTCTAGTCCCATCCACATCGCAGCAAACTGAAAGGGTTTATCCTTTTTTTTTTTTTTTTTTTGCTTTTTGGGTCACACCCAGCAATGCTCAGGGGTCACTCCTGGCTCTGCACTCAGGAATTACTCCTGGCGGTGCTTGGGGGACCATATGGGATGCCGGGGAATCGAACCCAGGCCGGCCGCGTGCAAGGCAAACGCCCTACCCGCTGTGCTATCACTCCGGCCCCTGGGTTTATCCTCTCTTGACTGTCTTTTGTTTGGGGGCCACAGTCAGGAACTGCTGATTTGGGTCACTCCTGGCTGTGCGCTGGGGACCACGCAGTGCTGGGATTGAACCTAACCCTCCTGCCCGCAAAGCCTGAGCTCAGCTCACGAGCGTTCTCTCCCATCTGGGGATTTAAAAAAAATCTGTAACTTAAAAAACCAATTATTTTTGGTTTGGGGATCATACCTGGAGACTGTGCTCAGGGCTTACTCCTGGCTCTGTGCTCAGGATCATTCCTTGCAGGGTTTGGGGGAGAGTGTATGTGTCGGGACTTGAACCCGGCTCAGCCGTGTTCAAGGCAAGTGCCCTCGCGGCTGCACTAGGTCTCTGGCCCCCATGTTAACATTGTTTGTTTTGGGGGGGGGTGGCACTTAAGGACTCCCAGGACCATACCGCCTCTCTGCCCCACCCTCTGTGGCACCTGGGGCATCTGTGGTGCTGGGGATTGAACCGGGTTGAATGTGTGTCTTGAAATTATAGACGGCCGAAATCCCATGACATCACAGGATTTGCTTAAGCTGACTGAACCAACTCTTAATGCGCACGGTGAATCACTTGAGGGAAGCAAGCTTTTTGAGCACACAAATAGGAATAAAGTGTTTTCACTATTGCTTTGTAAGGTAGGGCAGTTTTTGGCTGATTCTTTTTATTTATTTATTTATTTTTTTTTTTTGCTTTTTGCTTTTTGGGTCACACCTGGCGATGCACAGGGGTTACTCCTGGCTCTGCACTTAGGAGTTACTCCTGGCGATGCTCAGGGGACCATATGGGATGCTGGGAATCGAACCTGGGTCGGCCGCGTGCAAGGCAAACGCCCTACCCGCTGTGCTATCTCTCCAGCCCCTGATTCTTTTTTTTTTAACAGATGTATTCATATATTCAAATTCACATTTGATTTAGTTGAATTCTGAGATCATTGTTTTTTTTTGTTCTGGGGCCATACCTGGCAGTGCTTCGGGCTTCCTCCCGGCGGTGCTTGGGGGACCATATGGGGTGCTCGGGATTGAATCAGGTCAGCGCATGCAAGGCAAACACGCCTACCCACTGTGCTGTCTCTGCACCCCCCAGCTCATTGTGTTTTTATTTTGACTTAACTTTAGTTTTGGGGCCATGCCCAGGGGTTACTCCTGGTTCTGCACCCAGGAATCACTCCCTGTGGTCTCAGGGGACCATACGGGATGCTGGGGATCGAACCTGAGTTGGCTGCATGCCAGGCGAGCGCCCTCCCCGCCGTGCTATCGCTCCGGCCCCGCTCATGTGCTCTTACAAGGATCGCTTGCTCTTTCTGTGGTCTTGGTTTGGTTAGAGCAGAGGCCCTTAACGAATTGTGTCTTTATTAGAAATGAGATTGCAGCTTGAGGTGTTATAAAGCGCAGACCATAGAGCTTTCGGAGTGTGCGTTCCAGGTGGGTGGGGAGGATCTCGGCAGCATGTTCTCGCACTGCAGAAGAACCCAAAATACCCAACTCTTCAGAAAGGAACTTTTGACAGGGGCAGAGATATGCCGAGACCAGAAATAGGCGCTGTCCAATGGACGGTCAGTTCCCCTGGACAGGCTGGGAGGTGGGTGGGGGTGGGGGGCTGGGATACTTCCTTCCCTTGTCCCTGACGTGAAAGGTCCTTTCTCTCCACTTGTAGGGTTTTCGGGTATTTTCGTCCCTTTTCTCATTTTGCTGTAGGATGATATTATTATTAGATTTAAAAATTTTCACAAGATCTGTTGCTAAGGCTTTGTTATTTTTAAAGTCCAGGCAGAGACTCAGTTCCCTCCAAGTAAGGGAATTCGCGAGCTTCCGAGCCCGCGGGCTCCTGACTCCTTGAGCCCAGGCAGCGCCCAGGCAGCGCGTGGGAGAGGACGAGCCCCCGCACCCGGCTCCTCCCGGCCTCTGCCACCCCTTCTTTTCCTTTTCAGCCCTTGGGCCAGAGCTGACGATGCTCAGGGTTTACTCCTGGCCTTGTGCTCAGCCGTCCCTCCTGCCGGTGATGCTCAGGGGACCCTGTGGGGTCCCCAGACTGACTGTGCAAGGC